TTATATCAAATAATAATATATTTTATCTTTCTTTTTTTCAGTGGAGGATGAAACAACACATATATGCACCTATTAACAGTTTTTGCTGAATTGCTGAAACACTTCATCCATTGAATATTTATAAAAGTGAACTCTTTGTTTATAAAAGGAATAAATTGTGAAATTGGTAATTCATTTTTTATTTATCCGCATCATTCACATTGAAATTGCAAATGATAATTCTCACTCACACAAATAATGTGTTAATAAAGTTCAATAAGAGAAGACTATATTATAATTATTGTAAAATGCTCTCAGAAATGACTGTGACGTTTTTGGCTCAATCTGTCTCTTGCAGTGGCTTACGGAAATTATACTAAACAGATAAGGAAGAATCAGTTTCTAGTGTATTTTTAGTAGTTGAACACTATATTCACAAATTATAATTGAATAAATAATAATTATATTAAAAAAAATGTATTAATGATATAAAGTTACTTCTATGAAAAATTTATATATTTTGGAAATACGGTTGACATGAAAAAATCTGAGATCGGATGTACAGGGTGTTAGTAGAGTAATAAAACATGGAAATGTTTCATGGGGAAAGTATCTGGGTTCCAGTATTATTCTACACGAAGTTTTGTAAAATGATGAATGATGTTTATAATGTAAAATGAGGCATGCATAATCGTATAGATTTTGCGATTATTCGCAGCACTTAAAAAAATTGTTTTAGCAAAAGTTTGCATGGTCTATCTTGATTTTTTGAAAACTCATCGGATGACTAGCAACTATCACGATCGCCATTATTCAAGGTAATAATCAATCAATGTTTCGATTGCAATGTCCATTCTAGTGTCGAGATCCCACTTTTGTCTTCTTCTTTTATCGTATGTCTAATGCACTTTTTTTTTACTCAGGTCTGACATATTCTATCGCAGTAGCTAGTAGGCCTTTCACCTCATCCATTTCAAAAGTCAAGTTTTCCCTGTCTACTTTTTTTGTTTGAGCCCATAGTAGCTGGATCGGGTTAACCTCACTATGGTAAGGAGAGAAGCAGTGTACAATTATATTCCTCTCACAAGCTATTTCGTCGACAACATATTTCTTCAACTGAGATATATGTATCCTTGTAATATAGAATAATTGTACTTTCAACATATTATCGTCGAATGGTAATTTTTTTAGACAGCTGTGATAAGAGGCATAGTCCATGGCGACGACAGAGTTCGGTTCAAGGTTAGGTAAAATCTTTAGAAACCAACTGTCGAACTTTTACGCATCCATTTCCTCATGATAGTCGCTAGTTTTCTTGGGTTCGAAGAGTAACTAGCCGTTTGCCAAAAAACCCTAATCGATGCCTGTATGTATGTTATGAGCCTCCGTCCTCTGCCAGCTGGCGCTTCCAATCATGTTAAGAGACCTTCAATAAAAACATGTCGACAACTTTTTATTTCTAAATCTTGCTATACCTTCGAGACAATATAGCTTTGATTCAACCAAGTCTCACCTACATAATACAACTTTACCTTCGAAGCGACACTCTCGAATNTTGCCAAACAAAGATTGAAAACCTGGATGGCAAGAAAATTTATGGACTTCTGGCAGAATCTTTCAGGAGTGGCTCACTTTAGGGCGTTTATTCATCCTTCAAGCTTGATACCAAACAGTTGTTGGACTACAGTAGGGATGAACTACAATGTCTAACTGGCCTTCTTACAGGTCACTGTCATTTGAATCATCATATGCAGAGACTCGGACTGTCGAAAGACAGTGTGTGTCGCCTCCGTTTGGTAAATGGTGAAACAGCAGAGCACATACTTTGTGCCTGCCCGCTGGAGACAGAATCAGGTTTTTTAAAGTTCGGCATAGCCGAACTTATACCATCTTAACTGAAAGACCACTCACCATGCAAATTAATTGGCTTCGTTAAGAAGCTGGGTTTATTTGGTCGAGTGTGAGTAGGTGTGAGCCACAATAAACCCTTGTGTGTTGCAGTGGAGGATCGAATAGACCCACTCACTTTGGACCTCACCTAACATAACCTAACCCTATGTTTGTCTAGATCTTTTGAAACTACGCAACGGATTTTGATGCAGATATTTTTTTTAATTGAGAGTGATTCAAGACAAAGGTTTATATGAATATAACATGCACAATATAGTAGAGAAACAGTGATTATTTCACAGGTTTCTAATGTGATGTTCTACAAAAATATTTACATTGCAAACGCTGGCTGAACCCTACGAGATATATCACAATAATGTACTACAGTATTGGGCACCATAAAAAGGTCTACAAGAAGTCCACGATGGTATACGTCCATCTTCCAAAAATAACCCACACAACCTTTTTAAATTCTTTACTCTTTTCGAGAAATAATGGCTTATATACGAAGCGATCTTAAGCAATACAGCATTCATTCTTATCCAATTCAGTACCATGAATACATTGAGCATTCAATATAGATGGATATGGTCTTTCAGAGCATGTAATCCAACTGAACATTTTCGAAAACATTACAGATTCAAAATGCAGGGACATAGCGGTTGCGGCCGTATCAGCCGGGGAATCGGCGGCGTGTGCCTACAAATAGCGCGTCGAAGGCCGCGCTTCGCCCTATAGCATTAAATGATTAGCAGCAATCGCACGCATTTATATGTATAATGTATACTTAGTATCAGCATTGCACCCATGCTGAGCTGGGACGGGTCCTATTCAGTTTGACTCTAAACATACGGATATAAATAATTAATGAATCGTTACGTATTGTCATCGATTACGTGAGTAGATTCAACTCATAGGTGACATACAGTCTTAATTTCATGAATTAATTGTGTGCTTCATCTTGTGTTGTTATCAAGATTAGTGCTGCAGAGGCACTCATTCCAAAATATCGCATGTCCTCCATTGAGGATGACAGTGTTCCATGAGAGTGGAATTTCACCTCTTTCATATAATATAAATTGTATAACAATCCTGTGAATCATATCTGATTCAAATCCATAACGAACGTTGGGGGTACAAATTGAGTAGGGAAAAGTGTTTTTTATATAATTCAATATTCATATGAGAGTATTTATTCAGAAAGTATTTATTCTTCAGTGTAATTCAATTGAAATTGATTGCTTTCTTCAGTTGGAATTTTCACATGTTTTTTATAAGAAGATAAGAGAAGTAGTAAGCCAAAATTTTTCTTAACCAGAAATGTATTAGTATTCTCTTTAAATATTGAAAATCAAAGTATCAACTAACTGGCAATCAACTAAGTGGCAACATTGGCAAAAATGGGAGAATTATCACCAATAAGCTTACTTAA